CTTATAATTTCAAATGCATTTTTAAAAGCCTGCATTTGTGTTCTCCTCCCTACTGTTATCATATTTTACACCTATTTTATGATCCCTTAACTGCTTATTGATAAATGATTTTACTAGCTTTGTCTCTTAACCTTCTTACCAGCTTTGTGTGTGGATTACCAGCTTTACTGTGTGTTTTTGCCTTTACTGGTGGACTTTCTCATTTCTTAATTTTCTTTTTCACCTTGAGACATTCCTTTGTCATTTGTTGTAAAGCTGGTTTGGTGGTGTTGAATTCTTTTAGGTTTCTTTAGTCTGTAAAGTTTTTGATTTCTGTAAAATCTGAACAAGATCCTTGGTAGGCAGAGTATCCTTGATTGTAGGTTTTTCCCTTTCAGTGTGTGATGTGCTGTTTTTGTCAGGTTTCTTATTTTCCGGTGGTATTTTGAATTTTTAAAAGCATATGTTTGTGCTTTCTTGTCATCTTAGGAGACTTTGGGACAGAAATCCATCTTGATCTAAAATCCAGATACCGTGACTTCCCTAGTGGTCCATTGGTTAAGAATCTGCCTGGTAATGTAGGAGACAGGGATTCTATTCCTGGTCTGGGAAGATTCCTCATGCCATGGGGCAACTGAGCCCATGCACCACAACTTCAGAGCCTACACTCCAGAGCCTGTGAGCCACAACTACTTAAGCCTCCTTGCTCTAGAGCCTGCATGCCACAACTACTGAGTCTGCATGCCACAACTACCAAAAGCCCATGTGCCCTAGAGCCTGTGCTTTGCAACAGGAGAAGCCACTGCACTGAGCAGCCTGTGCACTGTAGCTAGAGAAAGGCCACACACAGCAACAAAGATCTAGAGCAGTCAAAAATAAAAATAAATAAGTAAAATTAATTTTTAAAATGTCTGGATATCTTTCTGCAACCTAAATTAGGTTATATCACTTCCATGCTGTAAAAGCTCTAATGGCTAATTGTCAGCAGTGAGAAGGTGTGATAACCACATCTGCCTTGCTCCCACTGTGACCTGCAGTCCAGTCACTACAATGTACCCTGTGACCTTGTCTGACTGAACTGTTTATACTGTGTTACCCCTAGCAGTTTGGGTCCCCATTTTGGACCTGCTGTCACTCAGAATGCTTTTGCACCCCCTTTTCTATGGAAACCACTACTAATTTCCTAAAACTTATTTCACATATCACCTCTTCAATGGAGACTGATATGACCATAGATGGAGTGCTGGGCTCCCTCTCTGACCCATGTCATGCCCCTCACTGGCCTTTCTGCCTCAACTCTTAAAGCAGCTTGCTTTGTTTATAAATGTACACATTTGTATATGTCTACAACCTAAGAAGTAATTTGAGGATATTGTTTTATTATCTTTCTTTTGTCACCACCTCTTCTGGTGCCAAATTTGACATTCAGTGAAAACTTTGTTGGTGGTTTGGAAATTTTAAAGTCATGTATTTCAGTTCTCATGTAAATGAGGGGATGAAAGAATGCATAATTGCCTTTTATCCCACAAAATAGAGTGCAAAAGTTGGGACCCAATAGACATTCTGTAACTTACCATGATAAGAATGATGTGTTCAAGCTCTGGTACTTGTTTCCTACATCACCTAGTGATTCCTGCTTCTGATTCACTAGGCTTGTGCTCTTACAGGGGTCATTCTCATTTGAAGATTTATCTGTGGACTTCACCCAGAAGGAATGGCAGCTACTGGACCCCTATCAGAAGGACTTATACAAGGATGTCATGTTGGAGAATTATAGCAGTCTCGTGTCACTAGGTAAGAAAAGCTACCCAGGACTTCCCTGGCAGTCCAGCAGTTAGAACTCTGTGCTTCCACTTCAGGGGGCCTGGGTTCAATCCCTGGTCAGGGAACTAAGATCCTGAGAGCTTTGTGGCATGGCCAAAAAAAGGAAAAACTGCCCAGAAGACCTTGTATTGTGTCTAGTACCATGCTTGTTTTTTAGTTTCTGAGAGCTCTGGGACTTGCAAAGTTTTAATGATTTTTGGACCTAAATTTTAGAGATCAAAGTACTTGGACTATGAAAGTCCCAGGGAAAGTATTTAAACCTCACCTTCCAATGATGAAGTCTTAATTTCATTGTGCTGCCTCTGAAGCTAATAGTAATAGTGGTAGTGAGGCTCCTGAGGCTTTGCCAACAAAGGTCTGTATAGTCAAAGCTATGGTTTTTCTAGTTGTCATATATGGATGTGAGTGAGAGTTGGACCATAAAGAAGGCTGAGTGTTGAAGAATTGATGCTTTTGAACTGTGGTGTTAGAAACAACTCTTGAGTGTCCCTTGGACTGCAAGAGGATCAAACTAGCCAATCCTAAAGGAAATCTATCCTGAATATTCATTGGAAGGACTGATGCTAAAACTGAAGCTCCAATACTTTGGCCACCTAATGTGAAGAACCAACTCATTCGAAAAGACCCTGATGCTGGGAAAGATTGAAGATAGTTGGATGGCATCACTGACTCAGTAGACATGAGTTTGAGCAAGCTCCAGGAGATGGTGAAGGACAGGGAAGCCTGGCATACTGCAGTCCATGAGGTCGCAAAGAGTTGGACATGACTGAGTGACTGAACAGCAACAAAGCTCCTGAGGCATGTAATTTACAAATTTCACATATTGTTCTTATATTGACTCAATCGTAAGAGCAATCCTGTCTGGCAGGTGTGTTGCTTTTTTTTTTTTCTCATGAGGAAATTGAGACAAAGAAAAAAGTTAAGTATTTTTCCCAAGGCATGATAGCTCAGAAATGAAAGAGCCTGAATTTGAACCAGGGCAGACCAACTACAGAGCCTCTGTAGGGTTTATGGTTTTGGACTTGAGTTATAGAAGTCAAAGATTCTTAGACCTTATTATCCACTGGGGAGACTGTTGCTATTCCTCTGAGGACTGTTTACTTTGTTGTTATTCATGAGGGTGGCTTCATTGGGTCAGCTCATTCTAAACCTTGCTCATTCTTCAGAGGCCTCAAAGGCCATGCAGTAGGGGCCAAGGTCTTTGTCATTTTCCCTGAACAGGGTATGAAGTTATGAAACCTGGTGTCATCCTTAAGTTGGAGCAAGGAGAAGAGCCATGGACAGGAGATGGAGAAATTCCAAGTTCAGACTCACTAGGTGAGTGTGTGAAGACCAGGCAGAGGAGAGAAGGTGGAAGTCAGTCTCAGCTGGGTGGGGGTTGGCATCCTTGAAATGTGCCTCAGAGGGCTCTTTTCAAAATCTCAAAGTTTTAATGGTGATTCAGAACAGTTAACATGAGCTACTGAAGTGAATCACATTACATGTGGCTTCTTTGCTTGTAGCTTGAAGTGAAATGTTTCCAGTTGGTCTGGCCCATGATGTTACTCCCAGTCTTTCACATCTGGGACTTTGACTTCTTATTAGGTATTCTGTCCCCTGATATGGTTAATCTCCTTCTGTCCTTCCTCCTCTCTGTGGTCAAAGACACCTGTGCTTGACCATCAGGGCTTTATTTTTCCTCGCTTTGGGTATCTCTGATGTGAAACCCTCTCTGTTCAGCCTTATTATGTCAGAAAATGGATTATCATTCCTCCCAAACTGTTGGTCCACTTTTCCCCTTGGTTGGTCAAGTTCTGTTGTGCTTTTTCTGTAGCTTAGACAAGGAGTATATGGAATTACCTCTTTCTACCATTTTTTTTACTAAGTTTTTTACCTTTGGAAAACATCTTTTGAAAGACTTCTCTATTCTCACTTAAAACTAAGTCTAGTCTGAACTTCCCAAATTGCTAGCTAATGCAGATCCTGGTTCTCATCTTTTTTGAGTTATGTGGCACCACCAAGCATCCAGCACTGCTCTGATCAGCTGGGCCCTCCTCCTCATTACCTGTTCTGTGACACTGACTTAATTCAAGGACCCTCAAAAGCAGACCCTGAGATACTTATTGGGACTGTGATCTCCACGGTGTTAGTGGGAGAAGGGGAAGCGAGATGGTGTGAGAGAGGAATGCATGAACAGTGTGCTTCTGGGAACCTTCTGAGGGACCAGAAAGCTAGTACCACCCTCTGCCTCCTGTCTCTCAGTGACTTGAGTATTGCCCCAGGGAACATTAGGGCTCCAGAGTATCTGGCATACTTGCACATGGCCCAAGAAGGCACTTGCAGCCCATCTCCATCTCTTGGTGGAGAGACATGGGCACCCTGGTTAGGCCCCACAATTGACCTGAGCTGCAGTGTCCTCTGAGTGTGGCTGAAGGGAGGCAGGTGACACTGAGGACCTGTGGAGTAAGCCCATGTAGCCTGTTCAGCGATTACGCCCTTTGCCCCAAGTTGGTGGTCAGTTTCATTCAAACTTAATCTACTGTCTGCTTTCTGTTCTTGTTTACAGTGTTTAAAGTGTTTTTCAAACCTGAAGGTTAGACATTGCAGTCATATTAGGAAACTGAACATTAAAAAGCATTGAGTCCCTCAAATAGCATTTCTAGGTTTTTATTCAGTAAACACAACTATGGAAGAACTTACAGGATTTTTTTTTCTTCATAGGTCAAGTCTTTCAAGTAAATGGTCACATGACTTGGCAAAAGGATAACAAGAAGTTTAAAACTATGAAACAAGATCATGAATGTGATGCACTTGGAAAAAAGTTTAATCTGAGCACGAACTTTATTCCTTTAAGGAAATCAAACAAAGAAGGTGACATAGATGGATTAATTTTAAAACATCATTTAGATTTTCTTATTCCGAAAGCAAACTGTGGAAGAATGGAACCAGCTGACTTAAACATATTTGATAAATTATTTATCCATACCAAGACTGAGGAAACTGATACTTGGTTAAAATACTATGCATGTGATAAAGTTAGCTATAAGAAGTCACAGATTATCATATATCACAGAAGTCGTTCAGGGGAGAAACTCTATGAATGCAGTGAATGTAGGAAACGCTTCAGTAAGAAATCAAGTCTCATTAAACATCAGAGCAGACATATAAGAGAAATAGCCTATGGCTGTGGTAAATGTGGCAAGACTTTTCCCCAGAAGTCACAGTTTATTACACATCATAGAACTCATACAGGAGAGAAACCTTACAATTGTAGCCAGTGTGGGAAAGCCTTCTCCCAAAAGTCACAGCTAACATCCCATCAGAGGACACATACAGGAGAGAAACCATATGAATGTGGTGAGTGTGGGAAAGCCTTCTCCCGGAAGTCACATCTCATATCACATTGGAGGACACACACAGGAGAGAAACCCTATGGATGCACTGAGTGTGGGAGGGCCTTTAGTGAAAAGTCAAATCTCATCAATCATCAAAGGATTCATACAGGAGAGAAACCTTTTGAATGCAGAGAATGTGGGAAAGCCTTCAGCAGGAAGTCACAGCTTGTCACACATCAGAGGACCCACACAGGAACAAAACCCTATGGATGTAGTGATTGTAGAAAAGCCTTCTTTGAGAAATCAGAGTTAATTAGACATCAAACAATTCATACTGGAGAGAAACCCTATGAATGCAGTGAATGTGGGAAAGCCTTCAGAGAGAGGTCTAGTCTTATTAACCATCAGAGAACCCATACAGGAGAGAAACCTCATGGGTGCATCCAGTGTGGGAAAGCCTTTTCTCAGAAATCTCACCTCTTATCACATCAGATGACACACACAGGAGAAAAACCCTTTGTATGCACTAAGTGTGGGAAGGCCTTCAGCAGGAAATCCCAGCTTGTCAGACATCAAAGAACTCATACAGGTGAAAAACCCTATGAGTGCAGTGAATGTGGGAAAGCTTTCAGTGAAAAATTAAGCCTTACTAATCACCAGAGAATTCATACAGGAGAAAAACCGTATGTGTGCAGTGAGTGTGGGAAAGCCTTTTGTCAGAAGTCACATCTCATATCACATCAGAGGACACACACAGGAGAGAAACCCTATGAATGCAGTGAATGTGGGAAAGCCTTTGGTGAAAAGTCAAGTCTTGCAACACATCAGAGAACCCATACAGGAGAAAAACCTTATGCATGCAGGGATTGTGAAAAGGCCTTCTCCCAGAAGTCACAGCTCAATACTCACCAGAGAATTCACACAGGAGAGAAACCGTATGGATGCAGTCTTTGTCAAAAAGCTTTCTTTGAAAAATCAGAACTAATTAGACATCAGAGAACTCATACAGGAGAAAAACCTTATGAATGCAGTGAATGTAGGAAAGCCTTCAGGGAGAGATCAAGTCTCATAAATCATCAGAGGACACATACAGGAGAGAAACCCTTTGAATGCAGCGACTGTGGCAAAGCCTTCTCTCGAAAGTCACACCTCATACCACATCAGAGGACACACACAGGAGAGAGACCCTACAGTTGCAGTGAATGTAGAAAGGCCTTCTCTCAGAAGTCACAGCTTGTTAATCATCAGAGAATTCATACAGGAGAGAAACCTTTTCAATGCAGTGAGTGTGGGAAAGCCTTCTCCCAAAAGTCACAGCTTATTAATCATCGGAGAACTCATACAGTAAAGAAATCCTGAGAATGGTGTTAATGTTAGTCTTTGACAGAGATCTTACCTCATCAGTTATGGTAAATCTTTCAGATAATAGTTACATCACATTATATGTCTAAATACACTTTTAAGTTAGGAACTCCAAATAGGTTATGTTGGGGAAGCTTTCAGCAGATTAATGTGTTTATTATATTAGAATTCAGAGGGAGAATGACCCTATGAATTGCAGTGAATTTCAAAAACCTTTCAAACCTTTTACAGTAGAAAATTAACAGTACAGAAGAATACTGTGACTATCAGAAAACTTTCCAGAGATCAAATTTCATTTGCCATTGGAAAAAATTCCCACTGAAAGTGAATCCTATTCCAGTGAGTTAAGGAAAACTTCATGAATACAGCAAGTGAGGTGATATTTTCATCAAGAAATAACAGCTCATTGTACATAAGAAGATGCCCTCAGGAATGAATTCTTTGAAAACACTAAATATAGGACAGTCTTCGGCAAGTAACCCCACCATATTGTATCCTGTGGGTATACCTAACAGTTTAAAGACACTAGAAATACATGCCCCTAGAAATAATGCTATAATGGAAAGCCACGCACTGTTTATAGACATGGGTACCAAAAATAACTGGTTCTAAATTATATTAAGGCTCAAGTATGAAGTTTCTAAAAATGTGAATAAATTGAGTCATTGGAATACAAAATTTCTCCGTGGTATATAATTATGACTTATTTTCCTGTGTCACAGGCTGTGTTTTATATTTTGGAATTACATATGGTAATGTAATTGGGAGCATGAGATGTACATGCCTTGTAGTGCCTCTGATGTCTATCAAGACATACCATGTGCCACTGGTTTTTCTATTTTAATAATACTATAAAAATGATGACTCGTAGGACATGTCTTACTGCTCAATAAGTAGCATGAGTAATATCAACACATTTCCTCATGATTTGTTAGTTTATAAAAGGCTCTATTATTGTCACTGACCTTTCTCTTTAGTAGCAAAAGCCAACATTATATAAAGTCTTTTGGATCCTAGACTCTGAGAAACAGTTTATAGAAAACCTGATTAATAAGTATTCTAGTGTAGAACTGCAGAATGGCACAAGTAAACTGTGAGGAGTATGAACTGTGGCTCTGCACTCCTGCTTAGTGGCATTAACTTGGAGCAGAATGCCCTCCTTGTGTAATGAGGTGCCTCCATGCATCCAGTATGTGTATCTTAAGTGCTATGTCACCCAAATACAACTTGTATTTTAATTTACTGTGATGAATTGTCATGAATATTGTGTGCTGCTATTATGTTTTTGGTGTTTTGTAAAGTATCCCGTAAAAATTAGATGAAGAAACTAGTTATTTGAGAGTTGCTATCCAGAGAATATAAAATAGAGAGGATTTTGTGGTGAGAACCATATTTTTGATGTATCCCAGGAAGCCTATTTTGCCTTCCTGCAGATTTCTGTGATTACCAGACAGGTATCAGAAATCAAGCTTTTTATTATTTCATCATTGGAAATGTTTGTGTTTCACTTGCCTTTCACCTGTTGTATCATGCACATGAGAAAGTTCCCATGTGTGCTTACCATTTTATAAAGGTGGTTCCTTCTGAAAATGCATGAACCATGCCTAGGTTTATTTAGAATTTTGTAGCAATCTCTTTATAATGTTGTTCGACAAAATCAACTATGTTTTTTGTATGATGGTGAAATTCAGAAAAGTCTAGCATTGACCTTGTTTCCATACTTGAAAAATTCAAGCCTTCTCTTATGCACAAGTCGTTTTACCAGTGTGGTGTTTGGTACCTTTGATTCTAGCAGTATTTTTTTCTTCACCTACAATTTTACATCATTGTTGGAAAATTGGAATACTAAATAAATGAGGGTAATTTTATGAACTGTTATACCAGAATTTCAACAAAGTCCTATTTCCCAAATTTTTATTCATACATAAATTTATGGACTTCCTACTTTTCTCCCTAATACCTTAAGGTCATTTTACCAGGTTGGTGAAACAGACCTTTGTAAAGGAACAAGTAGTTACAGTGTGATGTTTTACTTTGTGGGTTGTTGGTCCCCCCCCACCCCCATTTTTTTCTTTTCCATCTATCCTGGGTCTCTTTCCTCAGCCCAGTGATTGACTTGTTGGGTCTTGGATTGGGCTGAGGAGTCTGTTGTCTAAAAACGTCCTAGTTTTGCTCACTCTTGTTCTAGATTATTTTTGAACTACTAAGCAGTTAATCTTAGAACTTTCTTTATGAGATGATGAAACTTCACTGGCCTTTTGATTGAATCCCAAGGGCAAATATGTTTCCTAAGGATCTGATGTCAGTCATCCTGTGTCAGGGCTGATGCTGGCAGCAGGGGTTTTGTTTATCAAAATACCTGATGTTCCACATCCCAGGTGTGTGGTGTAGAACTCACCTGGCATTCTGTCTTCTGAAGGGTCACAGGAGACCTCTGATTCTGAAATTAGAGATTCTTAGTGTCACATTTTTAAGTCACCTTGGTAAACCACAAAAATATATTTCCCCTCACTGATTCCTACTACAAATGCTGCATCAAGAAGAAAGCCAATTTTAAAGTTAGGCTGAATTTATAGTTTTGTGAAGCTCAATAAATGACATTTAGATGGAATACTTGAGGAGGAGCATCTCCTTTCCCTTCCTCTTTCACCACCCAGGTTCCTCCATTGGTGTGGAAGCAATCCTGCAGAGCACACTTTCTATTCTATTCCTTACACTAAGTACTGGATCTTCTGGAGGTCCTGTCTATGAATTCTGAGAGCTGTACCAGGATTGCCTTGTGTTCAGCTTTGTGGGCTTTGATATTTTCAGACACCATTATCTGTATGGTTCTATATGTTCCTGATATTTTGATTGCATGTGACATTTTGATCACATGTTGAACCCTGAGATGAAATGAACCCAAAGAATACCAGACATATCTACCAATATCTGTATTACATAGCGAAGTATACATCCATAGACATTTGGACCCTACACCTGAGATCTCAGTCATTTGGTCATTTACTCCAGTATGTACCCAGATTGTCAATTTCATTGAGTTTGTCAGTCTACAAACATGATACAAACAAGCTTTCAGATGCTGAGCACCTAGTGCTGGCCTGCATGCCAGTTAACTAACTCAGTCATTACTTTTGCAGCTGTATGCATATTTTTTGCCCTTTTCATCCTTTCAGTCCATTTTTTGCACTTATATATACTAGTTATTTTAAGATGCAATTCTGATTATACACTCTTGTATTGAAATATCGTGTGGCTAATTGTAGATTTGGCAATGCAGGAGACACAGGAGACATGGCTTCGGTCCCTGGATCAGGAAGATCCACCTGGAGAAGGAATGGCAACCCATTCCAGTATTCTTACCTGGCAAGTCCCATGGACAGAGGAGCCTGGTGGGCTACAGTCCATGAGGTTGCAAAGAGTTGGAAATGACTGAGCACACACACATGCATGCACGCACGCACACACACACACACATTGTGGACTTAAGGTGTAATATCCTCGTGGTATATCAGGACTTTTATACAAAACCATACTTGTTCATAATTTCTGAATACTTTATCTTTCCTCTTACAGTTTTGGTTTTGTTTTGTTTTTGCTTCCTTAAACTACTTGAGAGTTCCACAGTCTCTCATTTTATGCTTTTATGTATGTGTGCTTTTTTGTTGATCTACTGCCACTGAAATGCCCTTGTTCCTTGTTAATACCTATTCAACCTATGTGAACTTGTACGTGTATTTGTCAGTGGTGATAAAATCATTGCATGTTTTATCTTTCCCATTAGGAAGCTTCTGGAAAGCTAGGAGTCTCTTGTTTGTCTATATAATTTTAACAACCAAAGCTTTGGTTCATAAGTGTGAGTGGTGTCAGTGGCTGTGTTTTCTACCACATGAGGAGGCATAGCTGCAATAAGAGAAGTGTGAAGCCACCACGGAAGCCAAGTCATGAGCATCCCGGCTGGGTTCCAGGATCTGATTCTTGTCTTGAAGTCTGGGTTCATCTCTGCCATTTTCTTGCCTTGATTATTGGACTTTTCTGTGAGATATCCCAAATATCCTTATAATAAATCCCCATGTTTGTTTCAGCTGGTTCAAGTTGTGTTCATTATTGCAACCCAAGTGCTGCTCCTCACTGACAGCAAGGTCAGGCTGTGTCATAAGTTGGGGCCTCTGGAAGCAGATACTGAGATGAAGTTTGGTGTGTAAGATATTTATTGAGAATCAACATGAAGTAATGGGAGAAGAGAAAGGAATGGACTGGTCAAAGGAAAAATCATAACTGCACTGTAGGTTGTGGAGACCTTGGCCAAACCAGCAGGGGCTCTGAAGAGAATCACTTGTAAAAGTGTCTCATATTTGGCCATGACATCCAGGCCCTTACAACCCTGGGTTGTCAGTCAGCAGAGGTAGGCTGCCCTGGAGAGAGCATGAGCTCAGGTGAAGCAGCCCTTTTCCCCTGAGACCAACTCTGGACAAGCTGGTGAGTGGAGGAAGTCCCAGCCACTGGGCAGCAGGTTCCTGGAAGAGGGATCTGGGTGGTTCAGCTCCACGACTGCACAGAGCATTCCTTCCAAGGTTGGGTTTGTCTAGAGAGAGACGAAGAAGAGGAAAATCAGGATGAACTACAGACCTCCTGTTGCAACTGTTTGCTCTCACCTGTTATGCATTCCAGATTCTCACAGCTACCACCCTTACTGACATGAACATGAGCCAGATCCTCATTCCTAAGGGCTCTGGGCCCTGGCCACCAATATCTTCTCACACCCAAGCTGTGATGTTTCTCCAGTTACCATCACAAGTGGGAAAGAAAACTTCAAGAAGAATCTCGGTGGGTTACCGCATCAACTCAGATTCCCTGCCCCATGTATGATGGCAGCCCATTTTCCCCATGGTGTATCAGACACCCTGCAGAAACAACAGCTCCTCTTTCCTGCTGGTCCCTGGTTACAAGGAGCACAATCCTCAAGTCAAGTCTATCTTTATTAATTAAGTGGAAAACGCTCTGTCCCTGGTGAAATGTATGTCTCCTGTGGGGTTCAAGACCTCTTAACTCTGCAGCCTGGAGTGGAGTGTCCAGGAAGCACAGTGCCCCTGGAGGGTCTTTGGTAGTTGTGGTTGGTGAGGCCCACCCTCATTGCTGAGTTCTTCTACTTTGAGAACACAGCACTGGCTTTTGTCCATTTCATAGACTGCACTCTGAAGGGCAGCGCCCTGTCCTGGCAGAATATTGCTTCCAAGCTGGGGCTTCAACTGTGCTTTCACTAGGCTGTTCCAAAGCTCTGTTGCAGAAGCAGCTACTGGTACATGCAGTGGGTCCTTTTGTGCTGGGCATAGTCTTGCACATCCTTTAATGCAAAGTGGGTCCTCTGGTCTGACGCAGCGTATGTGGGATAGCATACTGGCTGACCAGACATTTTGTAAGCCTTTGGATAGTGGTGCTAGCTGAGGCCCTGGGGGCAGGAAAGAAAATACATGCCTGGAATATGAGATTTTCCTGTGAGGACAAACACTGGCCTTTTGAGGGCCCAAATAGTCAAGTGCTAGTTGGTCTCTCCTAGTAATGATGCTATATTGGGGACTCAGTCTTCGTCTCTTATTTTAGACGTTCAGTAGTGGCCAAATCAGCCCTGGTGGGAGAGACTGCTGTTGGAAAGGATTGACATTCTTGGCCATTAGAGTAACCCCTGCATTGGATCCCTGGTCTTTTGTTAAGGGCCACCATGGTGAGGAGGCCAGATGGATGGCTCTGAAACTTACTCCCCAGATAAGATAGTGAATGAAAATATATATATATATATATATTGCATTCCAGGTAGGGGCTCAGCAGGGAGGGTGGCAGAGATTAGTGTGTTCTTAAAGACTGGCAAGGTGACTATTCCTATCATAATCCTGTTTAATTAGGTAGCATAGATGGTGTAGAAGCTGAAGGTAGCCTAGAGAATGACTATAGACTAGACACAAGCCCAGTCAAGTAGTGATCCAACTTGCACAAATGGCATTGTTTCTCAAGCGGATTTTCATGCCCTTAGATACACAATATTCAGCCTTTTATTTCACAAATGCATTTTTTGTATCCTTCTCAGGAAAAAGAAAATTTTTTCATCATCATGGAACAGAAAAAAATTCAGCTTTACTCCAGGATTGTCCTAATATAGCCTGAAGAGATCCAGACTATCTGAACATGCACAGAACATCAGCATGCCCCACCACAGCAGTGAAATCATGCCAGTCAAGCAGGTTGTACAGGAA